AAAAAAAAAAAAAAAAAAAAAAAAACAGAGGAAGAAAAAAAATTAGAACAAATGTTTTTAAGTTCAATCAAATATTAGGGGAAAATGGAAAAAGTAATGGCGTTTCTACACTACGCATTATTTTTTATATTTTAATCAAATACCAATTGATTTTTATTAATTCAATATTATCAAATATTTGTATATTAGATATAAATAATAATAATAATAATAATAATAAAAAAAAATAAGTTGTGTTTATTATTATTAATTTTAAAAAATAAACAAAAATTTGTTGCGTGTTAAAATGTATTCGTTTTGAATTTAAGGTTAGAAAACGCCATTACTTTTTGATTCATCTAATACGTGGGTCATAACTTTTTTGGCTACCTATAAAAATTGTTTAGCATTTTGCATGTAGCAGTAAAATAAAGTTTATTAATATAAATTTCGTTGACAATTTAATTATTATCTTTGTTTTCTTTTTTTTTTTTTTTTTTTATCAAACCTTTTTAAGGAATTTTGTTGTTGTTGTTAAATAGTTGTGATTTTGATTAATTAATTGAAAAAAAAAAATGAATAAATAGAAGATGAGGGAATAGGATTCTGAATATTATTTAAAATATTAGGTGAACTGAAAAGTAATGTTACTTCTTAACCTCAAAATTTAAACAAATAAATTTGTATTATTAATCAATAATTAAATTAATGTACTAAATTAATTAATCACGTGTTATCAACAATGTTTTTCTATCTGATGTGCAAATTTGTAATATCATCAATCGATTTTTTCATTGAAAATATTAGAAATAATTTGACATGCGTAGTAACGACGCCATTACTTTTCGGTCCCCCCAATACAGTCGGTCGGCAACCTTTTGAGTTGGAAGAGAGCTAAAAATTACAATTAACAAAATTTCAAAGATTTTTAAATAGCCACAAAATTTGTTCTTGACCAACAAAATAAATAGTACTCGCATAACTCGTATAAATAAATCTTTTTGATTAAAAAAAAAAAAAAAAAA